CGTCGCTAGTAGGTTGGAGGCCATCGCTAGTAGGTTGGAGGCCATCGCTAGTAGGTTGGAAGCCGTCGCCAGTAGGTTGGAGGCCATCGCTAGTAGGTTGGAGGCTAGTGGATCGCTATTAGGCATAGCTGCGAAATGTTAAACTGCCATGCTGCCCGCCTCGTGTAGTGATCTTGCGGACCAAGTCAATTTGGGCCTGGCAGCACTATGACCAAATTGCGCACAGCCTAAATGAAGATTGATCTTTGCCCGTCGCCCGTGCTGTTTCTGTTGTTGAGTACGTCCCTTGGCTTCAGGGCCAATGAAGTAAAATGTTTTCCCCTGGTAAACCACTCAAAGGTCTTAGCCAAAGCCCTACAAGAAGCTAGTAGTAACAAGTGCCACGCTAGTAGTAACAGGTGCCTTACTAGTAGTAACAAGAAGCTAGTAGTAACAAGTGCCAGGCTTGAGCGAAATCTATCCGCTCCTACACTCTCCTGCACTGAGCGTGCACATGCACGCATACACGTTGCATGGCAATGTCACACTGTTGCAAACGCAAATGTGGAGGTCGCGATGCTCAAACGCATGGCAGCTTGGCAACGTGGCTACTGACGTGGCTGGTAACGCATTTGCCGTGCCCATGCGCCTCATCCGGAATTCTGCAGCTTGTGATTGTGTGCTGCAGGAGTTAAGACTACTTCATTAAGATCCAGGCCGTGCGTGGCGCAGTCTGCGGCCTGGTCGTCGAACGATGCAGAACATTTGCTAGACTCGTCCCTGACCAGTCCCTGACTGTCTCAAGACTGAGCTGTTGGATGTTACAAGTGCAGCCAGTTGGCCTCGTCAAAGCTTTGAAAGCAGGGGCAGCCTGACGAACGACAGTTCCATACAAAAGGGGGGTCTCCCAGAAGGCATGCAGCTGCAAGAAACTTCAAGCTTTGAAACTAGAACATACCTCATCAGCAACAGCTGGGAGAAAGTCTCGGAAAGAGTGCAAGCTTGTCACATACAAACATCAGAGTACAAATCCTTTTTTCACGCCCCAGAGTTGGAATGCCCCTTCAATCGTGGTCCAGTTTTTGGTTCCAGTCTTTCCTCGCAAAGCTGGATGTGCACCATTGGACTTCTTACAAGAAAGGCATCCCAAATCGTCATGATGAGAGGCTTCTCACTCGGCACCCTGAACTCCAAGCTCAATTAGCGATGGTCTTCATGCGCTTTACCAGACCAAAACATCCAAACCGGCCCACAAAGAAACCTTGATTCTTGTGGGCAGACTTGAACCACTGGCCTTGACATGTCTGGGGCTCATTTGAGGTGTGCAAGCAAAGCTCACTGAGCCTTAGCTCTTACGGAGCTAGCGGGATTTGAGAGATCCGTGTCCACCGTGAGCGAAAAAGGAATTCAATAGTAGTGATGCCTTTGTTCCTAGTAGCGATGCCCTTTGCTCCTAGTAGCTTCTTGCTCCTAGTAGTAAGGCCAGGAGCCCCTAGTAGCGTCCGTGTTCCTGGATACAACTAGGTTGCATTGCACCATTTTGCTAGCAGTCCTAGGGCTCTGACTAGAAGGATCGACGTTCTCGATCGAATCTTTACCTGCAACCCAAGCGTGCTGCAGCAACGCTGCGGCAGAAGGCCTCAAAACGTTCAGATCTTTCAACATGACGTGCATGACCAATGAAAGAACACAACCAAAGAGGCCACTATCTGTTGTGGTGCTTGACTAGATGCACTATCTGGAGGCCTTCGTGCTGCCTCAAAGTTGTGGGAGCCTTGACTGGCCTGGCAGCTGCATCTTTCTTCATTACGCCTCTGATGAGCCTCTTTTGAATCTCACCTTAGAAACATTGCAAACAGCATCCACGAAAGAACTGCTCAGTCAATGCCTAAACAATCCACAAAGGTTAGATTCGTCCCAAGGGGCATCTGATGCAACACTTTGTGTTTTTTCCCAAAATTGTGAACCCTTTCTCAGATGATATTTCAAGCATGCGAAGGATTCTTCAAGCAAGCTCCCGCCCTCAGGATTGCTTCAAGAACCTAAGCCCTTCTGCATTGGGATGCAACTAGGAGCTACAAAACTAGCTATACCTACTTGCTACATCATGGCCCAAGCCTCCTCTAATCGAAAGGGACCCAAGTAGTAACAAGAAGCTACTAGGGGCTCCTGGCCTTACTACTAGGAGCAAGGACGCTACTAGGGGCTCCTGGTATCGCTACTTGGAGCATTCTTACGGCTTGGCTACCTTCGATGCCCCAAATTTCTGAGCCCCGCACCGAAGCAGTCAGGAAAAGTGAACATCCCCCCGGCGAATGCGAGCATAAAGCTGCATCCTTAAAACGTGAAAATCATCGTGAAGACCTTTAGGAACATGTGGCCGCCATCAAGAACACGTTCTAGTTGGTGTAGTGGTCGTACAGAGTAGTAGCAACATAGCAGAAACACTTAATTAAAAGCAATATGTAGTGACAGTAGTTGAGGAGTTTGGGGAAGGTCTAGGACTGGAGTTTGTATCCCAAGGTTTCATCAATGACACATCATCACTTTGCTTGCAGCATTCTCAGTGACAAACTCAGTCTTTGCCGCAAATGGCAACGTGCCAGAGAGCAGTGCAAAAAATGACCTGTGCAGTCTATGAGCCCTAAATAGTCGAGCATGAAGTTTATAGCCTCCAAAACAGCTGTCTATTTCTTGTCGTCTATAGCTCTATGCTTAGCAACAGGCCTTGACAAACTTTAATAGCTAAGATTAAGATCCTTGCCACTCCCAACGCCCACACATCTGCTGCAAAGCCTGCCAATTCTGCACGTGGCAAGGGATCAAATTCCAACTAGTTCAGAAGAAAAGCGTGACCTGAATATGTTCGTGCTAGCAGGTTGACAACGCTGCAAACGACTGAATCATCTTTTCTATGTTAAACCTTTTTCACCAAAGTCGGCACCTTGTCATATTCATTGTAAATACAGCAGTGTTCTACACTGAAATACATTGAACACCACCAGCACGGGTCTGTTATCATAATTGTTTATATAATTAATTATCATCGTTATCCAAACATGTTACCCTGTTCCAGCATTGTTTGCAAACGCCGTTGCTTCAGATTTTGTTCACACTTTCAAATCGTTTTCATCACATCGATATCGCTTTTACAACATCCGCATTGATTGTATAAATGAACCAGTTCGTTGCGCAAGGGTCTTCTACCTCGTCAAGCAAATAAACCTTGAATGGCCCCACAAAAAAAAGAAAACATCGAAGGGAAGAAGAAAAGGAGCCTGAGTAGCCTTCACCCCGAATGATCTCCGGTGCCATGTACCTGGTCTTCCGTCTCAGATGGGCAACATTTGGCTAGTGCACAGCCTCTGCGCTCAAAGGCATCGTTTCGCTCCTTTTTATGCAAAACATTCGGTTTGGCTTCATGGGCCCTTTGGGCAGGAAGCCGAAGGCTTCGCGGCCTGAATGGATCAACCAATGTCACACTGGCAGACTTCTACTCACTACTAGGAGCAAGAAGCTACTAGTAGCTCCTGGCATTACTACTAGGAGCAAGAAGCTACTAGTAACAAAGGGCATCGCTACTAGTAACAAATGCCCTTTGCTTTTTTGCTGTTTGAAAATGTTTGTAACACACTGTTTCAACCCTCCGAAGTTCTGTCCTCGAAACGTTTCTTCCAAAGGCAGGGCAAAAGTGATGGCGTCTCCGACAGGTCCTGACAACTCAACTCGATCGACTCAAACACACCAACTAACGAGGGTTTCTTAGTGTTATTTCGTCTGCAATCTGTTGACACATGTAACTTCATATATGACTTCAATATGATTCAATAATTAATGTATATTTTCACGTCTTGAACCCTATAGGTGTGTTTTCATAGAGGGGTAGGCCACTAAGAGAGGGGGTGAAAGGGGTAGGATGGGGTAGGGAGGGGAGAGGTGTAGCATTACTAAAAACGTCAAGTTTAGGTAGAAGCTAAGTAGGTTGGAGGCCATCGCTAGGTTGGAGGCCATCACTAGTAGGTTGATAGGCTATTCTGTTCATTCGCTGGCGAAACGCGCATCCTTTACGCTACTCACCGCACCCCCGACCCTTTGATCCAAGGTAGTCTATTCAGTTCGTTTTGTGGTCCACATGCGTACAAATGACCTGAAAACTGATGGCTGTGAGGGACCGCCGCTAGGGGGGATGTAAGGTGAAAAGTTGACAATGTTGGGCTGTGTGCTTTGCATGCTCAATAAAGGCATTGGCAATGTTGAAGGCAGAGTTACAAAACACTATCATCAACAGCAATGTTTTGTGAAGTTCCAAACAATTGCATTGAGGCTTCCTAGATAGATTATGGAGAATTATGCTTGGAGACCTTACTTTCAGTGGCAAGTGGCTGGCACATGATATTTATCTACAATAATTCAGCCCAGGCCTTGAGGACTGCATCAACAGCAGGATCATCCCGAATTGGAGTGTCATGAAGCAAGGCAGCTTCACCTGGCCGCTGAGATCTGACCATCTCGAGTTCAGATCGGGCAATCAAGTCGAAACGCTAATGCTTCACATTAGTAGCGTCCGATCGCTCCGGTCGTAGCGATGCCCTTTGCTCCTAGTAGCTTCTTGCTCCTAGTAGCCCCTATAGTAGTGTCCTTGCTCCTAAGGTATAGACTTTTGTCTGCAAGAATGGCAAGGGATGTCGTTTATGCGGCGGGAAGAATGACGGGATGCTGTTGCAGCGTGGTAAATTGAGAGGCCTTCAGGGAGAAGGGAGTCCTGGTGCAGTTTTTCTTGAAGTTCATCAATGTAATTGATCCAATGCTAAAACTTGAAAATGGAAACGTTCGGAAAATATGTTTGATCTTGTGTTTCTTTCTTTAGCGTTTTTTTTGGTTTCTTTTCCGCCCTTCTAAAACGCAGATCAGTCAAACGAGTCTTCAGTTCTGTCTTGCTTTGCATCCTGCCTCCCTCTGCCTGGCGGCACACTCAAAAGGCCGGGGCACCCCACGAAAGAATAGTTAAACTATTCTAAACTTGGGTTGATACTTTGTGCGGAACGACTAGGAAAGGCAAACAAACATGGAACAGCAGGGAATGGTATGTAGTACTCTGTAGTACGTATCAATCTAGTAATAAACCATTTGGCATTGATAGAAACACACAAGGCGAAAAGGCTTTACTTGACCAGCAAGGAAGCAAAACGTTGTCGCCGAAGGTGCACTAGCATCGGTTTAAACCCGGCAAGCGGTTCGACCTCCAAGGGCCACAAAAGCAGGGAGGTAAAGTTTGTAAACTCAGTAATTAGTATTGAATAGTATTGATGCCCTTTGTTACTAGCTTCTTGTTACTAGTAAGGCACTTGTTACTAGAAGCGATGCACTTGTTCCTAGTAGCTTCTTGTTTCTACTGTATTGATCTGGTAGTGATGAAGTGATTGGTGATAGGTGGCTTTGTGATGAACGTGTTGATGTTGATGGTAACTTTTAGTTACAGATGTTAGCAGTCTGTTTCGGTGATTGGTGATGTTGATTGTTGGTCCGTAAACAGGTGGTAGGCTGTTGAGGCCAGGACTTCGAATTTGACAAAGCGATCATCTCTTATAATTCAGCAAAACAAACTCCAGCTAGGTGATGCTAGTATTCGTGATTAAGTGTGGGATGTGGGATGAGCTAGAAAACCCCTCGACCCGAAAAGGTTTTCGCTCCCAGGGAGGTCTTCGCTCTTCAGGCCTCCCTAATAGCAATGGCCTCCAACCTACTCTTGGCGATCAGCATCTATGATGTGCAAGGGTTGATCACGCTGCATCCTACTTCAGCATATTGTAGAACGGTCTAAGGTGGGCGCATCCTTGGCCTTCATGTGTTCTCCTTTGTAGTCACACTCAAAGTCGCGGCAAAAACGTTTGCCGGTACCACAATTCATGTAGTTGGTGCATTATGAGACTCGTAATTGGGTCTGCACTCATGACATTCGAACATTCCATCTTACAGCCGCAGCCTTGCAATGCAACACCAAACATAGCAGGGAACCTGAAGAAAAAAAAACTCCCTTGTGGTGAACTTCATGTTGAGAACTGGCTGGCACATCAGGACATATTAGAACACGATAAATGTTGCATTTGCCAAACATTGTTCATTGGGAAACGGACAAGAGAAAACTAGCATGTATAAACAAACTCGAGAAAACCGGATGAGTGGCAGGAAAAAATACTGGGTCTTTCAACTTAGCTGACCTCAACTGACTAGATGATGAAGAACAATGTCTGAAACGCAAAAAATGAAAGTGTCCCTGGACAAAGGACCTGCTGCTGGAGGAGGGCCCGGAGGCACGATAGCGAGCTACAATAGGCACAAAAAATGCAAAGCGACGCAGGGATAAAGTCGAAAACATACATGCAACTAACACTAAAACGAGTTATGCGCACATATATTTTCTTTCCCGTGCTCAGTCAACATCAAAACATCCAAACAAAGGAGCTGGTGTGCTCACTCGGGTTGAGGTGTTCCACGAACCATGTGCACCAGTCACGTTGTCTCCCCGCCTCATGGACCAGCACAGTATGTATTCCCAAGGCCTCCAAAGCGCTGAGCAAAAAGAAATGTCTGACAAACAGAAGAAAACGTAGCTTGGAAAAAGAAACGTCTAGACTGTTCACAAGAAAAAGGAAGCGTCTACAGAAAGCACAATTACGATTTAAACAACGGTCTGCAGAAACACAGGACAACAAAAAACAAGTTAAGGTCTAATTCTTGCGATTGCCGAAGGCGGTCGCTTGTGGCCGCACATGCTTCGAATTAGTCGCTTTTCTGCAACATGAGCAATGGAAATATCGCAACACTGACTCTCCCTGCAATAGCAAAATTACAAAAAAAACTCAGGTTCGACATGGCTCGACCACGCCACTGCTTCTCAAAGTTCTCGAAAAAGCGTGGCCAAGAGAAACAAAAAGATCAGTCAAGCCGCTGTCTCAACTCAATAACTCTACGAAGCCGTGTTACTGACCATCTCACTGAACTTCGGAAAGTCAAGGGACGCAGGTGGCTGGATGGCTGGGTAGCTTGCGCTAAAGGTCAAGCCGTACCACATCGAAGAGGGGTACCCGTAGTCTGTCATTTCCACTGTTCACTCTGGCAGCCGCATGTTAACCGTCAGACAACCACTGGTATCAACTCTTGGTAGACCAGTGTCTCACTGCACTGCGTGCTTCACACCATCTAAAGTGGCAGGCGGCAGCCAGCTGTTGCTGCAGTAAGGTCCAGTCCACCATCAAAGTCAATACCTCAAAACATTGTGCATGGCACGTCCTGCCAGCGCATCATGGCCATCGCGGCTTTGCGCCTCGACGCTTGGCGGCTTCGCGGCTTCGACGCCTCCACGCCTCGACGCTACGCGGCTTCGGCGCATCGATGCGCGTGTGCTTTTACCGAACGCCCGCGCAATGGAAAATACTAAAGTAGGAGAAACGCAAAAAAGAACATGTCTATAAACAAATATCAAAGCAAACATAGAACACGTATAAAGAAAAAAGGGCACCAGTAAAGGCCAAAAGAATAATGGATAAAAGACAAGGTGTAAAGAACGAAAGCAAAACAGAAATGGTCTCACGAAAGGGTGCAAAAAGGAAAACAAAGTCTAAAGAAAAACAAGGAAAACGAAAAAGGTCTACAAAAGAACAGGAACAACAAAAAAGGACATATGTTTAAAAGGACTAACGAGTAACCGGAAAAGTAAAATGGCTAAAGAAGAATCACAACATAACATGGGTCAATAAACAAAAAAACGGTTGCAAGAAGAAAAAAACACAAGAACAGGTCGAAAGAACAAATCTAAAGAAAAAGGACACACAGAAAAGGTCTCTAAAGAAAAAATGCAAAAAAACACAAACATGGAAAAAACAAGGTCTAAATTGAGAGGGAAAACAATAAGGCCCAAGGAAAACATAGCTTCTTCCAAGAGCATCACTTTTTGATTTGCCTTGCACGCGCGGATATTCTTCATAGAGTCCTCAACACCAACTGAACTGGAAATGGAGTCTGGCAAAGGGAAAGTTGGATCAAAGACTCAGCTGCTGGCCTCCAACCAACTAGCGATGGCCTCCAACCTAATGGCCTCCAACCTGATAGCGATGGCCTCCACCCTACTAGCGATGGCCTCCAACCTACTAGCCTCAAAGACACTGTGCACAAATCCGAAGCATCATGATCCGGATTTAGTGATTGCCCTCCTCAAACATCACCGTTCTCTCTGGAACTGCGCCAATGGCATCCAAAACGGCTTTGAAGGCCTCGCAATTTTTTCGCATATCAGCCACCGTTGTGATACATGCAAGCGCACCTCCGGTTGCGGCTTACACGCAGGAAGCACATCCTGCCACAAAAGGCCCTACGCAAACTGCTCTCCAAATGCACGGTTTTCAGTGTCTCTCCACACCTCAACAGCAAAAACATGGTCGTCTGGGAAGAACTCTCTGACACCCAACACTTCCAGGCATCTGAGCGCATACCTGACATCAGCAGCATTGGTCGGTAAGAACGCGGCATTTTGGTCGGTAAGAATAGAGCCGAATTTGATGGATCACTGGGGCAAAATTCTCTTGGACGCATGTTCGTGTGGAATTGGCAAAGCACCAAAAACAATTGAACACGAAGGGTTTCAACTGGATATTTGGAAGTTTTAGAGGCAACGCATGATGAGGGTGCCAAGACTCAAGACGCACGGATAGCGAATATTCTTCTGGCAATGGTTCACAAGGGGCATATATGCCCTGCAAACAAGAAAAGTTCTAAAGAGCTCAACTCAAAGCATTCAATATTCGCAATAATGCTGTTTAAACAGCCACGTTTCCCTGAAAAAACCTGGCGAATCACTACCATGTCAAGTGTATCGCCCAACTCCATCCCTGTTCCACACCCTGAAGAAATGCTTGCGTGCTTTCATGCATCAGTGTTTCCAGGATGTCAGGCGTACTTTCTTGGGGAATTCGTGAAAACGGCCATCTTGAGCCCCACATCCTGCCAAGTGCTGAGAGGGTGATGTGAGATACTCAACAGTAGGTTGGAGGCCATCGCTATTATGTTCGAGGCCATCGCCAGTGGGTAAGAACGGGCGACAGCTTGCGGGAGCTGAAACAAATTGAGACGGAAACACATTGATCTGTCCTGTGCAAGGCTTCGAATCACCTCTATCTGGCGGGGATCTGCGCGAATGAACCTCAAAAACAAAAACAATTCTATCAGATAATATCCGAAGTAAACAAATAGCAGGGGAGTCTGAAATTCAATAATGTCGAATCCCAAGTAGTGAAGTGGGATGGAATAAACCAAATGTTTGCCAAATTATTTCCACACGCTGTATAGAGCTGGTGGGTTTCTTGACTTAATTTGACCTAACCCTCCAAAACTACCACCATTCTTTGCACCTACCACTGAAATCTTTCAAGTGTTTGCACCAACAGAATGCAAACAATGTTTGCACATGCCACAGAATTCAAGCAAGTGTTTGCACCTGCCACTGAATTCGTTCAAGTGTTTACACATGCCACAGAAGTCTTTCAAGTGTGGCACCCACCACCTCAAGTGTTGATTTTGACTTGGGTCTTGTTGATTGATCTAAAATCATGAATCTGAGCCTGTGGTTTTTGAGTAAGCTCAACCTTTGAAGGCAAATGTTCACGGCCTGAATGCAACGAATGTTGCATAGGGCCAGGACCACGGGACCAAAGGACCAAAGGATGAGGCGACCAGGGGGCCAGCTGACCAGAGGACAAAAGAACCTCGACTGTTTGCCAGGGACGGAGGGGAGACACGGCTTACTCTTTCACATTGAACATTACTTATTTCATGTTGTTCAATTCAGACACAGTTGGCCACCAAACACCTGGAATCTGGAATGTTGATTGAATGTTCACAGGAACGCGGCTATGCTGATGTCGTTCAATTTCAAATGCACGATACTTTTCTTCCCACGACAAATGACACTTTTGCATAGCTGAGACACTTTGCAAAGTCGCAGTGGTCCGCCCAGTATTGCCCCAACTCTTCCTGGACCATTTACTTTACTGAAACAACCGAGTCTGCATCTTTCTGACTTCAATATGGCAAAAAGTTGTGGGTCAATTAAATAGGTCAACATCACCTTCAGCTCAGTGTTCCTGCTTGAAGGGCTTTGGCAAGCGGCCCTCCTGGAGAAAAGTGAGATAAGTTGAGATAAGCATCAATTCAATCAAATCCGTGGGCCAAGAGAAAGAAACAGTTTAATCAAAGCGGCTTTTTTTGAGTTACTAATAGCAATGGCCTCCAACCTACTAAGCGATGGCCTCCAACCTACTAGCTATGGCCTCCAACCTACTAGCGATGGCCCCGTATTCTAATAGCGATGGGGTGGCTACTAGCCATGGCCTCCAACCTAGGAGCGGAAGCGAGAATATTATCCCAGTCTCCTCAGTCGCAATTGTTAAGCCTTTCATCGTTGAGTGATAGCGCCTTGGAGTTCTACAAGGCCCAGCACTCGTGTAATTGAAGTGTATGACTTCCAAGTCTACTACGCTTCTACTGAGATTTAACTGGTCTCTGCCTTGGACCCTACTTAATCTTCTAATGTACACCAAATGCAGCTTGGCTGGCTGAAAGTATTCATCACGGAGGATCTTTGCAGACTCAGCCGATTCAAAGCTCAAATGTTCTACCATGAACTTGCATATCACCTGCCCAAGGTAAGTCAAAGAACATGTAGTGCGACTGCGTGGTCTGCTAGTTGATTACTCCGATGTTGCGACTGCACCCGTGAATTCCAAATCAAGCCAAGCACAGTGCCTCTCCATTTCGATGGTCAGAAAAGCCAGAGGTGACAGGATAAAGCGTGTCATCCACATCGAGTCTGAAGCGAAGAAGAAAACTTGTCACATCCGCGAAGTCTGACTCCGAAACTTGTCCTACCCTGGCCCTGGAGGAAAGAACATGGAAACGGTGCTGCTTGTCAGTAAACCATCTAGTCTTACAAATACACAAGCTCGTTCGCAAGATTATGAAAAAGGTCACACAAAATGCAAACAAGAAGCAGCACTGCATCGATTTCTACCATTGCATGTCTATGTTGTTCAACATACACTGGGTCTTGTAGTGTCAAAAGCTCTGTTTCTGAGGCATGAAATGGCTTGGAATGCGACCATGAAGCTCAACATGACGTGTCTTACATTCCAGTTGTCTGGAAACGCTGCAGGATGCAAGCCGTCCATGACTGAAAATGCAACACTATAGACGCCGTCGTCTCTTCTGGGGCACGATGGCGTGCCACAAAACGCTTTAAGCTTCGTATCCTTGTTTGGTACCTTGGAGATGCTAAACAAGTTGTGTGAAGCACAAACTTTGGCAAACAAGTTCTGGGACATTGAAAGAAACAAACTCAAAGTGGATATGTCAGATTTATGCTCGGGAACTGGCATGTGCTGCAAAGCCAAAGTCAATTATCTTGACACCCTCTCTACCTGGCTGCCAGCTATAATATGATTTGCAAATGGGCTTCTGCTTCAATATGAGACTTCTTAATAGTTTAACAGTTGGTCTCAAATAGTACAATACTGATACCCTATGGCTGCTGGCTCTATCCATGACAAGCCCTCGGAAGCACAGGAAAGGGCGACTCTTGTCGAGAAGAAGGTTCTCAAGCCTTGGTCATCTGTGCAGTGAAAAACCGCAGCCGTTTATCTGAAACCTCTGAACACGTTCCAAAAATCAAAAGAGAAGCCATAAAAGCAAGGGTCTAAAGTTTAAAGTAGTTCAAAGGAAAAAGAAAGGAAAGGTGTTAAGGAGAGACTGTGACTGACTACAGAATCTACGATTCATCAGGCTACTCGCTGACCGGGAATTGGACTGCGAGGCCTAAATGATCTATATAACATGAAGAAAAAGGAACATGGGAAAATCATGAACAGTCATCAAAACTCAATTCTCCTTCGTTTGTGATGTATTCTTTCTGTCTCATCTTAGGTTGGAGGCCATCGCTATTAGAAACAAAGAAGCTACCAGTAACAAAGGGCATCGCTACGAACGGAGCAAGGACGCTAGTAGCGTTCTTGTTCCTAGTAGTAAGGCCAGGAGCCCCTAGTAACGTCCTTGCTCCTACTAGCGATGCCCTTTGCTCCTAGCGTTCTTTTTGAAAAGCAAATCTTTTTGCTCCAAGTAGCTTTAGATCTCGATGTGCCACCAGGTGGTCATGGCAGTAGTTTACGCCATCCACCACCTCTCACGTCATCTTGGGCACCGGCTTTGTTTGTTGCAAAAAAAAGCTACAAGGGCATCGCTACTAGCTGCGATGCACTTGCTACTAAACGAGATTCTTGTTTGCTCGGTTTTCCCTTCAGACAGGAATAAAGCCCTTCCAATAGTAAAGGCTTCCGGGCAATGCGACTCAAGTGACGTATTGAATCTTAGGATGATCGTGTTCCTTTCACGACAGTACAGAAAAATGTCACTCACCTTCAAGAATGGCGAACATGGGTCAAACACGCACAGAGCCTGGTGGTAGTATTGTCGCGCAGCCTCGAGAAATCAAGTGATTGAAATCCAACCAAAGTCGACGGTGAAAGCAGAATCTACCGCTTGCTAAGAGCACTAATAGCGATGGCCTCCAACTTAGTAGCTTCTTGCTACTAGTAGTATTGCCCTAGCTACTGGTAGCGTCCTTGCTACTAGTAGCGATGCCCTTGTTGCTAGTAGCTTCTTGTTACTTTCAATTTGCGTGGACAACTTGGCACCTGCTCTGACAACTTGTGGCTGGGCTGTCGGTGTGCGAAAGCTCTCAAGGACTCGCCGTCCACCAGCTGCGGGCGTCGCAAGCAAAGACATTGAAACTATACTAGCGCAATGTTCTTCCTAATGCGTGAGGCCAGAGATTGCTACCTGCAAAATGTTGGACTAAGTGCTATTATATGCCAGTTTGTGACATCAAGCGTGACACATGCCAAGTGTGACCCATCAAGAACATGCTCGTGCCACTTGGGAGCATTAACCTGGTCTTCTGTCATTAGAAGCCATCAAACGGTGGCTTCCAATCAAACCAAGCACAATAGAGCCCAACATGAAGCACACCAAGATTCCCCATGCCTGATTTTTTTTCAACATGCTTCGGACAGCCCGCTTAGCGGCTTGGCGCGCATCAAGATCTCAAATCAAGCTCCGAATTCCAAGACCTGTAATGGTGTCCTGAATTCGACTGGATTGTCTCTTTGTACAAATCCGGTTGATCATTGTCAAATCAGCGCCGGATAAAACGAATCTCATCTATTCATCATCTGTTCCAAGTAGACCAAGTAGATGCATTAAAGTAGGTTGACCCATGTTGACCCCGATTGACCCAATGATTCGAGATAGCTCTATGACTTGCTCAACTGGAGAGTCTGTCTCAAATAACCGGGGCAGCGGCAGGATGCTCAGAAGAGGATGCGACAGCAGGATAGCCAGCGGCCTTCCGCTATCTCAAACCTAAAACCTTGTTTTCATTCTCCCTCAGAGAATTAGTTCCTTTGACCCACAACGAACTCTCAAGCAAAAAGGAATCAACAGGAATAAAGAAAAAAGTCTAAAGGTGTAAAGTGTAAAGCGAGAGAGAGAGAGAGAGAAAAAAAAATAACATAAAAGGGACTGACACAAATTTGTGTCTTGCTACCGTTCTTCCGCTTAGCAATCTGTTGTCCAGCCTCAGGAGCCGAAGGTGATGTGGGAGTCTTGGTGTCAGCCTTGGTGTCAGGGAAATCTTACACCTGCCAAGCCATGTGAGCCATGTAGTAGCAGTTTTAAGTCAAAAACCAGTTGTAGCGATGCCCTTTGTTGCTAGTAGCTTCTTGCTCCTAATAGCGATGCCAGGAGCCCCTAGTAGTGTCCTTTGCTCCTAGTAGCGATGCCCTTTGTAGTTCCTGTTAGCAGTAAGGATTAACGGAGCTGATTCCCTAAGCTCAACCGCCGAGCCAAGTGGGGCTGATAAGCAGGTGATACGGTGATGAGGCCCTTCTGGGCCATTCTTGTGAAACAAAATGCAGTCGCGACCAGTAACAAAGTGCATCGCTACTAGTAACAAGTGCCTTACTAGTAGTG